GATCATGTATTGAAAATGCAGGGAGTTAGTATTAACAACAACGATGAGTTCATGCATCAGTTCATTCATAAATTAATCATGTATAGAAAATCCTATATGTTTAAGAATCCCATGTCTTAAAAACTGCCCTGCAGTCGCATTGGAGGGGGGGTCGGCGGGAGGGGCGGCCCAGCCGGCCGTGAGCGTATGCTCAGCGTGTCGCTCCGCGGGCTCTGGCCCACCACGCTTCTGCGCGACACGCCGACCTTACGTCGGGCCTGTGCCCGTACAGGGGGATTTTCGAAGAGAAATAAAACAAACACCAAACATAATCAAAGAATTGTCCAAAAATCATCTGGGGACTATTTTTTGAGTATTGTTTTACCTTTTTGGCGCATTTTTTTTAATTTTTCGTCGAAATTCCCCCTGTAGGGGGACACGCCCGACTTCACGCCAACCGCTTCCCAGTGTTCCCGAGCGTCAGGGTGCCGAGCCTTTTTTTCCCAGCCTCTCGCCCCCGCGAAGCGGAGCGACACGCTATTATCCGCCTGCGCCAGGGCCGCCGCCGCGACACGCTATGAGCAAAAAGACCCCGAGCCTAGCTTGCAAGATGCACCTGAGTGTTAATGCTGATCGCGACTGCACTCCCAGAGACAGACCACATCTGGGCTTAAGTCGGGCCTGGTCCCTGTATAGGAGGAAAATTAAAAAATAGTAAATAAATAGTCTGGGGACTATCTTACCTTTTTAGTATTTGTAGGTTATTTTTGAATATTTTTGGGCTAGTTTTATTTTTCCTCGAAAATCGACCTGTAAGGGGGGCACGCCCGACCTAAATCTGGGCACGTCTTGCTCTTGCGGACGTTTGCTCCGTCGCCCCACATCGCCCGCAGGCAGCTCCCGGAGCGCATCCATCCGGCGCCCCCCCGAGAGACGGCGGGGCGGCAGGAAGGGAGCGAGAGGCGCCGGCGTGCGGCAGAGGCGCCGGAAAGAGCGACCAGCGACGAGCTCCACCCTCACACAGCACGGGCAATGCAGTGATCTGTCAGAAGGCGAACCCCCCCTCCACCCCCCAGTCCCGACGCCCATCCCCGAGCCGGCGATTCAAGGGGTCGGGACTGGGGGTGGGGGTGGGTTTTCTTCATTCCTGGGCCCCGAAAGCCCACCCCCACCCCCAGTCCCGGCTCCTTGAATCGCGGGTTCGGGGATGGAGTCGGGATTGGGGACGGGGGTGGGTTTTCGCTTTCTCAATCTGGTGGCGGAGATAAGACAGTTCGTGAAGTGTCTACCGTTCAGTGAGGCACGTCCCTCTACAGGAGGAGTTTTCAAACATAGTCAAAACATAGTCTGAGGACGATGTTTTGACTGTTTGTGAGCATTTTTTGAATATGTTTTGGACTATGTTTTATTTTTCGACCGAAATCCGCCTGTAGGGGTACATGCCCGACCTCAGTCTACCGACGGAGTAACTGCCAGCGCTTCTGGCGAAGGGATAGAGGGGTGGAGGGCGAGCAGCATCACCAGGAGCAGGGAGGGGGCAGAAGGGAAGAGGATGAGGAGCAAGAGAGGGAGAGGAGAGGACAGAAAGCTGGGAGGGAGGAGAGGGGGAAGCATACTCCAGATTTCGTAATAAAGGGAGGGGGGTCTCATTTCGGGGGGGGTCTCTTCCAGGCTATCTTGGAGGGCCTGGGGGGTCTGGGGACGATGTTTTGGTGGGTTCTCCCACCGGGGAGGTCTGAAATGGCTTGTCTTGGAGGGTCCAGACCCCCTCCCTTTTACTGCGAAATCTGGAGTACAGAAGCAGCGCTGAGTTACCTTCTTTGTTCGATGGAGCGCGCGTCGGTGTCAGCACTCGTAGAGGCAACGGCGCGTCAGCATCCACTGTTGTCCCATGAGGTCTGGTCGTTCCTGAAATGGCACTGGCACCGGACGAAGGCTTCACTTCGCAAGCCAAGACATGTCTTCAGGAAAACATGATTCGCGTGGATGTGTGCCTTCTTGTGATTCTCACGAGGCAGTCCTTGAGTACCCAGACCCGCCAAACACAAATTTGTTCGCGCCTGCGCTGTCCATGGTCAAAGAGTCGTTCACGCGCTGCCTCCTGGAAGACCGCCTGATGAAGATGTGCTTTGATGGGGGACGCACGTCCGTGAACAGAAGCTTTTTTCACGCCACCGCCGTCAGAGTCTGGGAACAGAAGCTATTATCTTGCCTCCACGTGGCATGTGCAAATGGGGAGCTGATTCTGTGTCTGCTCGGACGCCGCGCGCCCTGGTCGAAGTCCTTCTTCACGAGCGCTCGGTCAGTTTTCCCCCAGGATCTTGGTGAGCAAGCCCTGCTACTCCAAATCCCTTATTAATTATTAATCGTCCCCCGGGTCCGGTTTTTAGGGCGCCTTTTTTGCAATTGGGGGGGTCCGGTTTCTTAGGGCGTTCTCTTTAGACCGGAGCTTGGGGGGTCCGGTTCATTAAGGCGCCCCGTCGACGAGGGGGGGTCCGGAAGATTTTGGTCGCATTTGGAGGGGTCCAGTTTTTTGGGGGCGGGTCGATTACAGTGCCGTTTTTATACATGCTCCGCGTGCGGATCATGTATTAAACATGCAGGGATCTAGTATCAAAAACAACGATGAGTTCCTGCATAAGTTTATTCATACATTAATCATGTTTTAGAAACCCTATGTTCTAAAATAAAAAGCCTATGTATTAAAAACTGCCCTGTACCGCTCTAGGCGGGAATCGCTGGAGCGCTCGGGTCGGCGTCGGCGCGCCCACCTCCGACACATGCCGCTGCCGAGCAGGCGCTCGCCATGCGCCCGCGCCCCCGAAGCGCCCGCGCTCGGGGGTGGACAGACCTCCTACGGCAGGCTTGCGTCGTGTCGACCGGCGGCGACCCCGCCGAGGGCGTTCAAGGTTGAACGCCGCCAGTGGCCCAGAATCGGCTTATATGGAACGATCGGGCGGTCGAAAAGCCGCCGATCGTTCAAGGTTGAACGATTCACGCAGTGTCAAAAACCAACGCTGGGGTCGGCACGAGACGAACCTGCCGTACCCTGACACGTCGATTAAGGAATTGGCCGTTTTTCGATTCGCGAGAGGGCGTCGCGGCCGTCATTTTTGCGGGTCCAGGTCCGTCGGCTTTGGTCCCAGGCCGTTTTCACCAAGGGGAGGTCTACTAAAGGGAGGTTTGTCCACCGCCGACACGCGCCAGGGTCACCCGTGCGTCCCGCGCGAGGCGGGCGGGTGGCCCTTCCCGGTCAGCTCGCTCGGTTTGCCCACCGTTAGGGGAACAACAAGTGACACAAACATGAAAACTCGGAGGTCCGCGCGGATTCCTCGGATCGGCGCTGGGGCCCCCCCGGCGGCGCCTCCGGCGCCGCCCCTGGCGCGCTCCGCGCGCCAGGGAGGGGGGTCCAGCGCCGATCCGAGAAATCCGCGCGGACCTCCGAGTTTTTATGTTTATGCCACTGTTTGTGCCTCTAACCGTCTTGCCTGCCCTCAGGTTGGTTTGCGGTTTCAAGCCCGCTCGCTTGTGATGCAGTGGGGGCGCGCAGCAAGAGACCATATATGTTTTTCGTCGGGGTATCCTGGGTTTCTTCGCGCCTCGCGCTGCGCGGTGACTGCCCGCAGCCGTTGAAGGAGCTGCTGCGTTCAGGGTGCTCCAGGTTTCCCCTCAGGTGCACCTCGCGCACGGGTTCTCAGGGCTGGGTTTCTTACGAGGGTTTCTTGTGGCCGCGCCCGCACTGTAAGCAATTCTTTCAGGCTGTCGTGAGCATCTGGCCAGCTGGCATGCCTGTTGTGGTTCGCGTGCTTCAGCTTGCTGCTCGACTGTGGTTTCGCCTTCATCCTGCAGCTTGCATTTAGCGCTTCTTGAGCTTGCGCTCTGCATTGGCTTGCGTGTGGTCCCCACGCACTGAGCTTACTTTACGTCTGTCGTGATCTCGTGCTCATATGGCGTGCCTCTCACCTCTAGCTCACCTGTTGAGCTTGCCGCTGCATTCCCCAACTTCCCCTTCGCTTGCCTGTGCTGTGTTTTCGCTTGCTGTGGCTTGCCTCTAGTTTGCCAGTTGCCTGCCTCGAGCTCGCCTCGAAATGGCCCTGTTTAGCTGGCGATGCGCCCTGCCGAGATATTGCTTTCAGTTGATCCCAGTCATAGGAGAGAGCGCTCCGAGGTAGGGCCACGTCTGACTGATTTGCTGTCCGGCCGCATGGTCGCTGAGCAGCAGCCCGCGCGACGCGTCGACCAACCGGATGTCGCCCTTCTTCTTATTATCATTCCATGTGCTGGCGATCTCGCCACCTTGCCACTCGTGGGGCCGTTGGCCAGACGCGACGACGGCCTCCTCGGCGGGAGCAGGCGGAGGGCTCGTTGCCGCCTGCCCGCTTGCCCTGACTGCGTCCTCCTTCCTTGTGGACCTTTGTGCGGGAAAGGGCCTTGGTCGGCCCCTCCCTACTGGTTGCAGCTGCTCATCACCCCTCTCCTGAGGATTCACCTCCCGGTAGGTTGAAGTTCATCATCGGCACTTCACCAAGCACCTGCCTGTTCCAGCACAGCCGGTTCGATTCCGCGCGAAACGGCTTAATCCAATGGCATTCCGTGCTTAGGCCGGGCCAGTCCGGGTCAATGGCTTTTCATAGTTAGCAATTAACCGACCCTTCACACTGTGCGCGGAGACTTGGGTTAGGAGGCCTAGAGAATTACGGACATGGAGTTTTTTGTTGAAAATACATCCAAGCCCAATCATCTGCTTGTACCGACTACAATGACGGGGACTTAAGTTAGGTCTTGCCTTCATTGCATTATCAGTGTTAGGGGGTGGAGGATTCGTCATGACCTTGAGAGCCTTTCTCACGAAGGGCTCACAGAAGATGCTTCCTAATTCTCGAAGGGCGCGCGAGGCAGAAGCACATCACCTGAGCCAGCATCTGCGAAGGGTGCAGAGCAGCGTGGTGCCGCAGTGAGCAGAGCAATGCAAGGGCGGCGCCCGCGCTTCGGGGCCCCAGAGGATATTCAGCTCGTCATTCATGGCGGCCTGTTACAATGGCACCGGCGGCGGGCAGGTTCTGTCCCAGGCTCCCCGGGTAGGGGGGGGAAGGTCAGAGGAGAAACGAAGGTACCGATACTGCTGCTCTTCTTGGAGAGCCCTCGTCGCCACGGGAAAATTCTGGTGAGAACGCACCCGAGCAGAGGTCTGAAGAGAAGCGGTATGGTCATCTTTTGGTTTCTCCAGGGACCTGGGGGCAGGGAGGGCCCGAGGATCATCGACGGACAGGGGGGGGGGGTCGAGACCGAGGGGCGGGTCGAGCACCGGCGTCGGGGCAGCTCGACGCCGGACGGCTGCGATAATCTCCCAGAACCTCCGCGTGGACCCCCGCACCCCTGCGTGCCCGTCCCCGCCCTTCCCGCTGTCGCGTGTCCGGGCCGCCGCGGCAAGCAGAGCAGGAAGCGGGCCTGCGGGCCGCTCTGGCCGCCACGTGGCCGCCGTGAGGGCCGCCTCGTCGCCGCCGCCGTCGCCGCCTCGTCGCCGCCTCGTCGCCCTTGCCGGCAGGCCGCTCTGGCCGCCAGGTGGCCTCTGTCGCCGCCTCGTCGCCGCTCGTCGCCGCCCGTCGCTTGGGCCTGCGAGTCGCTCTGGCCGCCATGTGGCACTTGTCGCCGCCTCGTCGCAGCCCGCCGCCTCGTCGCCGCCCGCTCTGCATTGCTTGGCCTTGCTGCGCACTGCTTCGCATGGCCTAGCAGTGCTTCGCAGTGCCATGCAGTGCGTAGAGTGCACCACGTGAACGGCACTGCATAGATTGCACCACTTAGCTTCTCCTTTGCAGAAGTCAGGATCCACTACCCTCCCCCGGCTTTATCGACCCTCCTTGGGATAGTACGGCGTAATTGCGATTATGCCCCATCCTTCATGTCGAATATGAGCGCGTACCATCCCAGCCCAGCTGGTATTGCCCCCCGTCACCTTCGTCAAATGATAGTATGCGTGCGCATTCGTTTATCAGAACACATAAGTTTTCAATAGCCCCGTGGCAGACCATTTAGACAAAGTCCACACGTGCGCGTTTTCGCGCGCATGTCGTATACGTATATAGATATATGATCAAACCGTCGGTATCGTAAAGGATGTCAAGATCGAGGCTTCCGAACACATATAAAGGATTGTTTTGCAACATGACTGTTTCTTAACAGGTCTGCGCGCTATTGTAATTTTGTAAGGAAATACTTTCGAAGTTTCCATCACATGCGACCCAGCGGGCCTCTCGCGCGCGCATGTCAGAATCTGTCGAACGCCCTTTCGGCGCTTGGGGGGGTACGAACCCCATGATGCACATTAGACAAAGTCCACGCGCGCGGCGTCGCGCGAGCGTGCCGAACTTATTCAACAACCGTGGGTTTCGCACGGGTTTCAAGATAGAGGTCTCCGGGGCACAGCCGAATTGCATCGGCTGTGCAACATGTTTTTTCTCAAAGTCTGCGCACGCGCTCTTACGAACCCCGTCGGTGTTCAATTTTCCATCAAGAGCAACCAAGCGGGCCTCTCGCGCGCGCATGTCAGAATCTTTCGAACGCCCTTTCCGCGCTTGCTGAGGGTACGAACCCCATGCTGCAAATTAGACAAAGTCCACACGCGCGTGGCGTCGCGCGCGCGTGCCGAACTTATTCAACAACCGTGGGTTTCGCACGGGTTTCAAGATAGAGGTCTCCGGGCACATCCGAATTGCATCGGTTGTGCAACATGTTGTTTCTCAAAGTCTGCGCGCGCGCTCTTACGAACCCCGTCGGTGTTCAATTTTGCCATCAAGAGCAACCAAGCGGGCCTCTCGCGCGCGCATGCCGAAATCATTCGAACGCCTTTGCGTGCTTGCTAGCTGGGGGGGGGCCCGATCCCTGTCAGATAACACCATGCGGGCCACTCGCGCCCATCCGCCGCCCGCGCATGTCGGAATCGTTCCAGAACCTTCTTCTATCACCTACGCGTTGACACCATCATCGTCATCGGCGCGATCAGCATCGGCGTCGTCATTGGCCTCGCCGTCGTCATCGTCATCATCGCCACCAGCATCGCTACTGTCATCATCGTGTCTGCCGTTGT